ATCTTTTTATACAGGTGAAGAAGGTTTGGTAGGAGTGGGGAGGAAGAAAACAATTTAAAAAATAGTGTTATGTAGGAATTTCACTTTTATTCTGGGGAGCTTTTGTCTGCTATTGCCTTCCAATGACCTTATTTCTGTATCTAGGACGTTATTATGATGATTAATAGATGCTGAATGACTACTGTATGTAACTGTTGCTACAAAGTGTTCTGTAATGCCACTTGTAAGAACATTTATTCCAAAATGGTCACATTGTTACCAAATGTACTGGACCTCTGAAAACAATCCATTTCCACAACATATGCACTAGAGAATTCTTGGAAAGCTGCAGAAATGTCACATTTACAATAGGTATATTAATTTAAAAACTACATGTATTGCACACCCAAATGCATAGGCTAACATTTCTTAGATTGTAAGCTCTGACAAGCAGGGCCCTCTGTTTCTTCTTGTACCAAATTGTATTGTTAACTGTAATGTCTACCTTCATTTTGTAAAGCGCTGAGCAAACTGTTGGCGCTATAATAATAATATTTCATGTAATGGCATTATTTATTAAGCTACATTAAGCTAACCCAAAAATCTAAAATCTTATATAATCGTTCATGTATATCCATTCTTTTTAGTTTTGGATAGATTAGAGAAGGGTTAAAACTCCTGTTTATTTTTTGCTGTCTCTGTCCCATTAGGAAATTTCCATTGCACTTCCTGTCCGAGAGATACGAAAAGGAATTCAGAGGATATTGCTTCAAATTGAAGGGAATTCCCTCTCTTAGCCTTGGTTCACACTGAATGCAACTTTGAAGCATTGCGATTTCAAAGCTGCAGATCTGTATGATTTGTACTTCAGATTTCACTGCAGCTTGCAACTTCATTTAACAGAAGTCAATACAAGTCACAATGAAATCAGAAAAAAGTAGTACAGGAACTATTTTTGCAGGAACTATTTTTGAAATGGCATTACTTCAGATCGCACTGATTAAAACAGTGCCCTAGAAATACATTAGATGCGACTTCAGGTGCGATGTGATTTACAAATCGCACCTGAAGTTGTATCTAATGTATTTCTATGGCACCATCTTAATCAGTGCAATTTGAAGTAGCGCTTTTTAAAAAATAGTTCCTGCCCTAATTTTTCTGATTTCAATGCAACTTGCATTGACTTCTGTTAAATTAAGTTACAAGCCACAGTGAAATCAGAGGTACAAAACGCACTGATCTAGAGCAGTTAAATCACGCTACTTCAAGTAAAGTAGCACGATTTCAAAGTTGCATTCAGTGTGAACCAGGGCCTAAAGTGATTCACTTAAAGTGGTAAAGTGTTCTATGCATGAATGTAAAATACCTTCTGTGTGCAGCTCCCCCCACAGGCCCCCCCACTTACCTGAGCCCCTTCTGGATCCAGTGATGTGCATAATCGCCTAGGCTCTCCGGGGACTCTCCTTCCTCATTGGTTGAGACAGCAGCCAGTGAGCCAAAGAGGAGAGAAAGGCGGCGAGGCTGCACCATGGCTCTGTGTGTGAATGGACATAAGCTGCTTGCTATGGGGGCACTAGTAGGAAGGAGGGGCCAGGAGCATCAGCAGGGGACCCGAGAAGTGGAGGATCGGGGCTGCTCTATGCAAAACCACTGCACAAAGCAAGTAAGTATGAAGTGTTTGTAATTTTTTTTTTTTAAAGCAAATGGCCTTTAATATAATTGTAAACTGGGTATACACAAGTAGCATTTTGTTCAACATGTTTCGATATAAGAATGTTGTAACAACTTCTGTTTGTTTTTTTTTAATCATTATGGGGTCAAATGAATGGTTTTTTTACCTCAGTGATGAGAAAATTTGAGGAAGCATGATGGATGTGACACAATACGGTGTACAGTGCAGAGGAATGGCATGCATGGTGTCGTCCACGAAGGAAACCTCTCCTAAAGCAGATGCACAAAGACTCTGTACTCTGGAGTGATGAAACCAAGATAAATGTTTTTGGAACTGATGGCTTCAAAACTGTATGGCACTGCAAAGGTGAGGAGTACAAAGAAAAATGCAGTGACTACAGTGAAACATGGTGGTGGCAATGTCCTGTGGCATGGTGGTGGCAATGTGGGGCTGCTTGAGTGCTGCTGGTGTCGGGGAGCTACATTTCATTGATGGTAGAGAAAATGCTACTATCATTCCGTGGCTTTTGGCGTCTTGCACTTTTCCAACATGACAATGATTCAAAACACACATCTAAGGCCACTGTTGTATTTCTGAAGAAGAACCGGGTTAAAGTGATTCAGTGGCTAAGTATGTCTCCTGAGCTGAACCCAATCAAACACCTACGGGGAATTCACAAGTTGAGCATCACTCTCCATCCAGGCTCTAAAAGAGGTCTTTCTTAAAGAATGTAAAAATATAGATGTTGCAATATTTATTTTATTTACTTATTTCCCTAACTTACATATACTAGGGCCAATTTAGACAGGAGCCAATTAACCTGCCAGCATGTCTTTGGAAGTGTGGGAGGAAACCGGAGTACCCAGAGGAAACCCACACAGGCAGAACATGCAAACTCCAGGCAGGTGGTGCTGTGGCTGAGATTTGAACCAACAACCCTAGTACTGCCAGGCAGAAGTGCTAACCATTTAGCCACTAAGCTGCCCAATATGTCACCAACTTATTCAGTCCATGTCTATAAGACTTGGTGCTGTCCTTACAAATCATGGAGGTCATACACAATGCTAGATGTAGTAGTTTTTGTTGGGGGGCGTATTCATTTTTGCAACAACTAATTTGAGTAAAACTGAAGATTTTTTTTAATTTAAGTTATATTAGGAACCTTACTTCCATGTAGTGAGCTAAACAAATGTTCTATAAATCCCAGTTTTGTAAAAATTTGAGATAAAAATCTTACTTTTCAAAAGGGGTGTACTCATTTATGCTGAGCACTGTATATATATATATATATATATATATATATATATATGTATATATATACATACAGTAGAAATAAAAAGTCTACACACCCCTATTAAAATGTCAGGTTTCTGTGGTGTAAAAAGATGACACAAAGGTAAATCATTTCAGAACTTTTTCCACCTTTAATGTGACCCTTAAACTGTGCAACTCAATTGAAAAACAAACTGAAATATTTTAGGGGGGGAAGTAAACATAAAAAACTAAAATAATGTGGTTGCATAAGTGTGCACACCCTCTTATAACTGGGGAGGTAGCTGTGTTCAGAATTAAGCAATCACATTCAATATCATAATAAATAGGAGTCAGTACACATCTGCCTTCATTTAAAGTGCCTCTGATTAACAATAAATAAAGTCCAGCTGTTCTAGTAGTAATGTCTTTCCTGACATTTTCTTATTTGCATTCTACAGCAAAAGCCATGGTCTGCAGAGAGCTTCCAAACCATCAGAGGGATCTTATTTTTGAAAGGTATCAGTCAGCAGAAGGGTACAAAATAATTTCCAATGGAAATTTCCATGGAACACAGTGAATACAGTCTCCTCAAGTGGAGAAAATATGGCGCAACAGTGACATTACCCAGAACTGGACATCCCTCTAAAATGCATGAAAAGACGAGAAGAAAACTGGTCTGTGAGGCTGCCAAGAGGCCTACAGTAACGTTAAAGGAGCTGCAGGAATATCTGGCAAGGACTGTCTGTGGGATACATGTGACAACAATCTCCCATATTCTTCATATGTCTGGGCTATGGGGTAGAGTGGCAAAATGGAAGCCTTTTACTACGTAGAAAAACATCCAAGCCCTGCTAAATTTTGCAAAAACACATCTGAAGTCTCCCAAAAAGCATGTGGTAAAATACGTTATTGGTCTGATGATACCAAGGTTTTGGCCATAATTTCAAAAGATATGTTTGGTGCAAAAACAACACTGCATACACCAAAAGAACACCATACCCACAGTGAAGCATGGTGGTGGCAGCATCATGCTTTGGGGCTGTTTTTATTCAGCTGGAACTGAGGCCTTAGTCAAGGTAAAGGGAATTACGAACAGTTCCAAATACCAGTCAATATTGGCACAAAACCTTCAGGCTTCTGCTAGAAAGATGAACATGAAGAGGAACTTCATCTTTCAGAATTACAGCGATCCAAAGCATACATCCAAATCAACAAAGGAATGGCTTCACCAGAAGAAGATTAAAGTTTTGGAATGGCCCAGCCAGAGCCCAGACCTGAATCCGCTCGAAAATCTGTGGGGTGATGTGAAGAGGGCTGTGCACAGGAGATGCCCTCGCAATCTGACAGATCTGGAGTGTTTCTGCAAGGAAGAGTGGGCAAATATTGCCAAGTCAAGATGTGCCATGCTGATAAGACTCATACCCAAAAAGACTGAGTGCTGTAATCAAATCAAAAGGTGCTTCAACAAAGTATTAGTTTAAGGGTGTACACACTTATGCAACCATATTATTTTAGTTTTTTATTTTTAATTCCCTCTACCTAAAAGATTTCAGTTTGTTGTTCAACTCCACTCCGCTCCGTGAGGACGTCGAATGACGAAACGTGTAGGGCGGAGCCTGTGGATGTGACGTCATGACGTTCCCGAGCTGTCAGCGTCTGTGTATGCTGAACACGGCTGGGTTCATTCATTGAGAACTGAGAACGTTTTGCTTGCTGGTGTTGGCTGGGACACCAATAATTGTAAGTGCAATATCTGGTGGTGGATTTTGTGCACAGTGAATTTTGTTGGACACTGAGAGTTTCTTTGAACAGTATTGTGACACAAAGTTATATTGGTGTTTGGACTTTATATTATTCACCATTTATTTTGGACACTGATTATAGGTTGTTGATACATTCATAATTTTATATTTTTATAATATGAGCGCAGCGTGTGTTGTCACTGTTGTTCAACTGAGTTGTACAGTTTATAGGTTACATTAAAAGGTGGAAAAAGTTCTGAAATTATTTATCTTTGTCTCATTTTTTTACATCACAGAAACCTGACATTTTAACAGGGGTGTGAGGACTTTCCGCTGTATGTATATATATATATATATATATATATATATATATATAGTGACAGTGTGGCGATCTGTCACAATGTGGAAAGGTTATTTCACCCGGGATTCTCAACAAGGCAGGTTGAGGGGCTCCAGGGTACTTTGTGTGATGCAGAGGAAAGTGGCTTTTCACTTTCCTCATGTCTTTGTAAAGTCCATTTTGGGACCTGGAGCCTGGAGATTTCAAAGTGATTTGGGAGGGATGAAATCTCCAATCCTGGGACCAGGTTTTGGGAAAGGCCAGGATCCTGATTGGTCAGGTGTGCATGGCTCTCTTCTAGAGTCAGGACCAGGGTTCTGGGCTCCACCCCAGCAGACAGGAGTCAGGAGGGCTCCACCTTGGCAGACAAGAGTCAGGAGGGCTCCACCCCAGCAGACAAGAGGTCAGTGCCCAGGAGTCAGAAGGGCTCCACCTAGGAGAGGTGGAAGCCAGAGCAGCAAGGGGCCACTAGGGGCTAGCTGTGTGTTAAAGGCCCTTTTGGAAGGAGTCTGTAGGAGACAGACGTAAAGTGGTATACCTGAGAGAGCCAGAAGGCTGAATATTGTTTCATGTGTTTGATGGTGGATACCCCTGCGTGGGAAGCATTTACTGAACTTTCGTTTAAATAAAATTGGGCTAAAAGGCCTTTAAAAAGAAGAAGCGAGTTGCTGTTTGTTTTTGAAAGAAAAGCTCTACCATTTTGATGTGAGTTCCCACAATATATATATATATATATACACACGCATGCACCATAGTTTGTAGGCACCATAGTTTTCACACAAACCAGTCAATATGCACTTATTGAGATTTTTTTTTTTTTAACCAAAGACATGTAGCAGAAAGTATTTTGTCCTAAAATTTATGAAGAAATTGTTGCTTTTTTGTTTGTCTTTTTTGGGATATGTTTTATAGCACAAAGTAAAAAAATATATTTTTTCAAACTTTTTGGTCATTTTTTCATTTATATAATAAAAAATAAAAACCCAGATGTGATTAAATATCACCAAAAGAAAGATCTATGTGTGTGAAAAAAATGGCTTAAGTTTGGGTACTGCATTGCATGACCACGCATCAGTTAAAGTGGCGCAGTGCTAAATAGCGGGGGTAGAATAAAAAAAAAAATGGCCTGGTCATGAAGGGGATAAAACCTTCTGGAGCTCAAGTGTTACATGTTAATGTAATTTTCAATCTTTTTAAGGGTCCAGACACACTGGCTTAAAAAATGCTGCTTCTATAGAAGTTTTGCCTGCAGAAGCTGCTCAATGTTATACTATGTGTCCATGCACATTAGGACATTTAGAGGTATATTTTAAGTTCAGTGTTTAGAGGCAGAAATAAAACCCTTCTGGTTTGCATTTTTGAGAGGAGTTTTCTGGCAAAAACAAAATGCTAAATGCTCCTAAACACCTTTACAAAAACATACAGTATATGCCAAAATAGCTAGTGTTTATAAGCTCATGTGCATGGACAGCACTTTTCCTTCTAATATACAGTGACCCTTGCTCAAATGCTTCCTGTAATAGAGAGACAGTACTGTGGCTCTGTCTCCCAGGTGGCTGTTATAAAACACATACTACATAAGCTGGCTATACACTAGTATAATTTCAAATGTTTCATTTTAAGCATGTTCATGGGATTTTTAATTGTTAGTGGGGTCAAATAAACCTTCATTTTTTTTGAGGGTAGTGACAAGAAAACTTGTAGGAGCAGGATGGAACATTTTTCTTGAAGGAATTAATTTCTAAGGCCCATTTCACATGGCATGTCTGATCAGGACCACTTGTGTCAGTTTTTCAGGTGGCCCTGATCTAGTCAAAAACAACATTTTTAATTACTTTCTAATAACATATGGCTAGCTTCAGATTACCTGTCTTGAGAAATACCATGCAGCCACTGATGGAGTGCATGCACGTAGTCAGGCAGTGGCTGCAGGGGGTCAGCAGCTTGTGGTGAGGTGTAACATGATGCGGGTAGTAAATACAGAGTCCAGTTGCAACAAAACATGGAACCTTATATTAAACAGAATGTCAACATTACAGAAACCCTGGCAGGAGAACACCTCTAAGGAAATAACTCACAGTTCAATATAGTCAGATGTGGCTGGGGAGAGGTGCCAACAGTGTCTGTTTCAGAGGATGAAGCTTAGCCTGGCTGGTGTTCTCCCAAGCTCCTTTACAGGCTAGCGAGTCCCTAATCTTTCCCTCCTCATCAGGAACCTTTCCCCACCGCTAGTTACTTTCCCTAAAAAGCGGGGTCTCTCTCCCTATACTAGCCATACACCATAAGTGCGCCAAAACCTGGGGAAAGAGACTTAAATAGACCCTGCTGACTCAAGATGGCCACCGAGGGTCACATGGATGCAGCGTAGCCAACAAGAACACTGCTCCATTGACCCAGGAAATGTTGTTTCTGTTGGTCTTCCTATCCAAGTTGTGGTGCCACCTGCAGAGGATAAAACAAACCGTACCTGCCTACAAGCTCTGAGATGCTAAATAAAAAGGATTAAAAAAGGGTTAAAATAAGTATTTTTCTTTTAAATGGCAATTGACTATGATCCACAGTGCTTTAGCAAACTAAATGTTTTTCAGTTAGTGTTCACTTTTACTTTAACTGTTCCCTCCTCTGTCCGTACTTTGTACACTTCCATCAGTTATTTTAGCAGAACAATGTTCAGAATGTTCATTAAACATTCACTTTCAATCTAAAAGCTACAGCAGTATAAAGAGTATAAAGATAAAGGATTAATAGCAAGGTCATTCCTGACTCTCATGTTCTTAGATTACACTTCTCCCTCTGATTATCTCTAGACATCCAATTTCTCTGACATCTGCTCCCTCATGAACTCACCAGATTTGTCACTCGGCAATCTGTTCACAACACCTACAGGAGCAGATTGAGAGCTTGATTAATGAAGGCTTTACTAAACATATACACTTTGATAGCACAGAACAGTTCAGGACAATGATACTATAGAAAGGGTTTATATCAGTATTCACATTATTGTGACTGAAAGTCATCCCTGCTTTTCTGAAGATGATTTTTTTTTTTACAATAATTAGAAACAAAAAAAAAAAAACCTGAAGAGCTCGGGAGGAGCTCGCTGTACTAACTATCCGATGTTAGTACAGTGCAGGGGCGGACTGACAACATATGGGGCCCCCAGGCAATAGGGGATCATTAGGCCCCTGTGTCCTTGCCCAAACTCAAAAAAGCCTAAGAAAAAGGTACCAGGGGCATCTCATGGGGCCCCCTACTGACCCCGGGCCCTCGGACAGTGCCCGAGTTTCCAAATGGTCAGTCCGCCCCTGGTACAGGGATCTCCCCTCTGAGCTCTTGCTTTTTGACAGAAGGACTGCCCCCACCAGAACAAACCAGTCAGCGCTCACAGCCATTGGCTGCCAGCACTGATCGGATGCTGATCGGATGTCGGTTTTCCAGTATGCCCGTTCAACACTGTCGGACAGGCTGGTGTACACCTGGGCCGAATGTTGGCCGGTTTCTGTTGGACCAGCCGATACCTGCCAATATTCGACCATTGTGTATGGGGCTTAAATGATAAGTTTACCTATTATTGCAGGTAAAAAAATGTGCATTTATTATTTTTTGTTTCTGGAGCCTCTAAAGAATTGCATCGCTGGTGCCATGCAGGTCTCTGACCTGTCAGTATATCTGCTTGCTCGTACATCCCGTACGGGCAAGCAGGTACTTACTACCAGGAAGGCTCAATGAACTACAATGGCACTGTGGAACATCATGGTAGTTCACTGAAAACTACAAGCCGACAGCCACAAAGGCTGTCAGAACTTGTAGTTTTCCCATTCACAGAATACTGTGAATGAGAGACACAGCCAGGCAGGAGAAGATCCCCCGCTAGCTGTGACAATGGGGATGGGGGGGGTGCAGGGGCCAGTCCAATCGTAACATGTTGCATGTTACCCCCTGAATATGGGTGTAATATGTAACATGTTATGAAAGGTGAATTTATCCTTTAAGGAAAGATATGGATTAATCGATTTTCTTTCCTTCCACCACTGGTGGACAATGGGGGGGGGGGGTGCAGGGGCGGTCCGATCGTAACATGTTGCATGTTACCCCCTGAATATGGGTGTAATATGTAACATGTTATGAAAGGTGAATTTTATCCTTTAAGGAAAACCATAGTTTAATCGATTTTCTTTCCTTCCACCACAGGTATCCCTCCCACAGTGCTACTGTATTCTGCAGCGGGGGGCACGGGGGGGGGACATCTACTTGAAAATCAATGCATGGACAATCTTGTTACTGTAGTAAGCAGTACAGTACAATTTCTTCCTTGCAGTCTATTTTTAAAGATGGAAATATGTAGAAATTGTGATTTTGGGATATCTGGCAATCCTTTAATTTGTTTTTGTCTAAATATATGCAGAGAAACACATAACTCAAGAATTGAGGCAGCTGGGATCCATGAGCTCTATGAAAATTCATACGTGTATAATTTCAGAAATCAACAAATCTGCATTTTACTGATTTGCATATGAATAGCTTAACACTACTTACAGTATATGCCAGTCAGGAATTACTGTAAATTGTGATACAAATGTGCCTGGCAATCACTGCAATAATAGGCAAGCTCTCACAAAATTGATATTTCAATTGATGCCTTTCAGATGAAGGTTGGTAGATTGATTCACCTTTTGCCTTTTAGAGTATATCTACTTGCCGACCGCAATATGTATATACATGTTGCAGTTTGCAAGTCGTTTACAGGGGATATCGCTGAAGCTTACAGAAGTGAACCAGCAGCGATTTTAGATATCAGTGTTTCTTGAGCTTACCTCTTTTAAAACGATCCGACGGTTCTCGCAGCTGGCCATAGAGCTGATCAGAGACCAGGTCGTCTTTGCTCACCTCTATGATCTTGGAGGACCAGAGCAGAAAAAGTCATGATGTCACTTCCGGTGTAGGGCGGAAGTAATTAAATGTTTTTCTTGCTTTTCTTAGAGGAAGTCCTCTAGAGATTTGGAGTCTTATAGACCCAAAATCTCTCCATAAAGAGGACCTGTCATCCATTATTCCTTATACAAGGGTTTTTACATTCCTTGTAATAAGAATAAAAATGATTTTAAAAAATTAAAGGGATAGTGTAAAAATTTAAAAAAAGAAACAAAAATTACAGCACCCCCATCCCTCCATGCTCACATGCAGAAGTGAATGAATACATAAGTGACACAAACATATTGTATGTAATTGGTGTTCGCACCACACATGTGAAGTGTCATCGCGAATGCTAGTGCAAGAGCAATAATTCTAGCACTAGACCTCCTCTGTAACTCTAAACAGGTAACCTGTAAACATTTTTAAAGCATCGTCTATGGAGATTTTTTTAAGTATTGCAGTTTGTCGCCATT